ATAGGTTAAATATTTTAGGAGTGTTTTATTCTTTGCCTTGGTTCACCATTTGTCATTTATTTGAATTATAACATTTAGAGAAATAGGGAAAGAATACAGAGAGATTATGTGGCTCTTTCTATAATTATACCCTCAATGTGCATTAGTTTGTATATGTCACAGTTTAAAAATCAGAGCCACTGTGTAAGAACTGTGGGTGGTCTGTGATCTGTTGATCAAAGGCCTTTGGTTCATATTTCACAACCCCTTAGTGGGGCCAGGATGGGTCAGTTAACTTTTTTCAGTTAAATTACATGACCAGTCATTCTCACCCCTGACCCTGGTCATCCAATGAGTACCATTTGTCATAGGGTAAAAAAATCAGGGTGATTGTTTAAGTGTGTCCTTTGCACAGCCTTGGAAATACTCAGAATACATGTTACTTTTTAATTTTAAAATTAAAAATACTTATTTTGATTTTTTTAGAAAGGCGGACAGATATACACCCACACACAGAGCTGGGGGAGGGGGAGAGAAAGAGAGAGAGACAGAGAGAGAGAAATCTTCCATTAGCTGGTTCATGATTCACTCCTCAAATGTCCAAAATATTCAGAGATGGGCCAGGCCAAAGACAGGAGTCAGGAACTCAATCAGGGCCTCTCATGTGGGAGGTAGGGACCCAAGTACTTGAGCCATCACCTACTGCTTCCCAGAGTGAGCATTAGCAGGAAGCTAGGTTGGAAGTAGAGCCAGAACTCAAACTCTGGAACTCTTGGTACAGGACATGGTTGTCCTAAGCAATGTCTTAACTGCTATGTCCAACACCCACCACTAAATTCATCTTTTAATGATTTTTCATCAACTTTTTGAAGTACCCTTGTTGTACATTCCAGCTCCAGAACCACCAAAGTATTGCCGACCATTGTGTAATTTTTTTTTTTTTTGGATAGGCAGAGTGGACAGTGAAAGAGAGAGAGAAAGGTCTTCCTTTTTCCGTTGATTCACCCCCCAACGGCTGGCGCACTGTGGCCAGCGCATCACGCTGATCCGTAGCCAGGAGCCAGGTGCTTCTCCTGGTCTCCCATGCGGGTGCAGGGCCCAAGGACGTGGGCCATCCTCCACTGCACTCCCGGGCCAGAGCAGAGAGCTGGACTGGAAGAGGAGCAATCGGGACAGAATCCGGCGCCCCGACTGGACTATAACCCCGGGGAGCCGGCACCACAGGCGGAGGATTAGCCTATCGAGCCACGGCGCTGGCAACATTGTGTAATTTTTAACACTATGTTACAGTAATGAAAGATCCAGAGAAATATAGGCACACAGACAATTTTGTGCAAAAGTGTCCTAAAGACTGAAGAGAAAGTAACAACCTCTGCTATGTATAATTTGAAGAAGCCTAATAAACTCAGATCTTCACTAGTACTTGCTTTTGTGCTTACATAAAAAAAAAAAAAGTCTTCATGTTTTTCACCAACAGTCTTAAGGCCTTGTGAGCTAGAGTAGAAATTAGGTCTAAGACCCTTACTACTAACTTAAAATCTGACAACATGTTTCTGACACAGTCAGCACAGAAGAAGTATTACACTCCACAAAGTACCATCTTATTCAATCTTGTATCACTCCACAGCTTTAGCACAATGTCTAGCCAGAACGCTGAAGTGTTGTTTGTCCATCCAACACATTTATGGAACACTAAACATACGCTATACATACAGAGCTTAATAAGAAATTAATTTACTAATATGAGAAAGTTCAAAGTGTGCTAGTAAGAGAATATCAAGTGCTGAAATAGCACACAGAAATACATAGGAATGGCTAACTAATTTTCTGCAGGAAACAAGTGAGGGTAGAGTCCAGACATGGGAATGTCAAATCAGAGAGACTTCATAGAACATCACAGTGAAGTAGAAGATTTGAAATAATGAAGACCTGGTTTTAATTCTATATTTTTCCATTTAATAGCTGTGAGATATTGGAAAAAAATCACTGAGCCTTTTCCATGTTCCTTGACTGTGAAATACAGTAATATACATTTTTGCATTTTTTTATGAGAGCCAAATGAATTGATGAAGAGCATACACCTGTAGCACAGTGGGATCTCAATAAAGAGTAGTTGTTAGCAACTGCTTGCTAAGAAGAATAAATTGTGTAAGGAGGCCTGGGATAGAGAAGAGGCCATGTGCATAGATTTGACTAGCATATGAGGTGCCAGATAGCGAATATGAAGCTGGAAAGATATCCAAAGGCTAGATGGTGAAAACATTTGCATTCAGACCTAAGGAATATGGATATTTTACTGGAGATGATGGAGAACCACCGAGGAATTTTGATCACTGGGTTGACAGTGGAGTGGATGGATTGGTGTGTGAGGAAGTATAAATTTGAAGTCAGACTGAGTGGGAGGGCACTATTAGTGATCCCTGCTTTTAATTCAGTGCCAGCCTCTGTGGCCTGCTTTGCTTCGTTAACTCTCCATGCCAGATGGTGAAATAAATGGAGGACATAGTTCAGTGTTCTCCGGAGCATACCACCACAGCCCTAGGTATGGAAGCTGGGACGGAAGCTGTGTGCATTTTATGAAGAACGTCAGAAACCTCTCCAAGGTACTGAGCCGCCAGCTTCGTCACTGTTCCAGCTAAGTTAAGTGTCAAAGATTGAGTAACTTTTAAATTTTGAGTTCTGAAGTGCTTTGATGAGACGGATCTTGATCATCCCTGTATCTGAGATTGGACTTGATCTCTGCTATGTCGCTACTGCCCAGTACTGTGCATAGGGTGGCAAGGCAGTAAAGCTTGCTTTGGAGAAGCTAGAAAAATCGTAACCATTGCCACTGCAGATTCAATATTCCCAGAGTAATGTGCAGGAGGGGTTAGCGCTTCAGATATTCTTTCTTCGTTTCCATAAGTTGAGTTCAGTAAGTGATGTGTGTGTGTGTGTGTGTACACTAGAAACATTGTGTGCCATTGGCAGCGTGAGGACAACCAGAGGCAGCATCATGAGGGGGGCAGGAGGGGTGGGTGGGTTGGGTAGGGAGCAAAAGATACTCATTTCTTTTTAAATGGATTTTTTCCCTGACTCTAGCCTCCAGGAGGCTAATGTAGTTGTATAAAGGACTGAAATCCCCGCCTGGGTATTTGTCGCTAAATACTGACTGGGCGTGGTTCGGCCTATAGGACACCTGCTTTTCTCGAGCGTTGTAATGTAAGCAGATACTCCAGTCGTCCTCTCCCAACACTGATTCCTCAAGCCCTCAGGAGGGTTCCCCGTTCCCGCATAGGTTTTTTTTTTTCTTTCTTTCTTTCTTTCTTTTTTTTGGGAATCCTCCCGCCGGCGAAGCTGCTCCGTAGACTTGAGAGGGCCTGCTGAGCATGTGTAAAGAGCGCCGCGCATGCTCCGTGGAGTGGGCAGGTTTGCCGAGGCGCTAGCAGTGGCTTTTACTACTCTTCACCCGCCTCCCCCGCCCAGCACGCCCCCTCCCCTCCTTCCCACCCCCCACCACGCGGTCCCCCGCATCCACCCCGCCCCTCTTTCCCACCCTCCCTTCACCCCCAGCTGGGGAATCTCCGTTGACGTTCGGGTGACGCCGCTGTGCCGCCGCCGCCGTGGGGGGTTCCAGGCTCCGCACAGGTAAAGCCGCCGCTGCCGCCATATTGACAGAGTGGGGAGCGGGGAGCGGGGAGCGGGGAGGGGGCCCGAGGAAGCGGGGTTGGGGGGCGGGGGGAGTCGCGCCGGCTTCCCGTCCTCGGCGCGGCTGGTGTGAGGAGGG